AGGGACTATTTGGGATTGGTGACCAAGACTTGGTGTTAACGACATTCCCATCTTCTTCCCTCCTTTCGTCTGATCCTTATCTCTTCGTCTGTGTATGTCTGGACCTGGCGCTATCTTCCTGTGTGCAGCGCCAGGCTCCTTCACACTTCGTGATGGATACAATGCATGTTTAGTCTGAGTTCAAACATTGATTGGGCTAGTTAGAGGTACTCTAGCATTCTGCTTCGTTACTCTGAACTACGTGAATGAGGTCAGTCCTGTCAGGTCAGTCTTTGTATTAAATTCTTCCCTGCGCTCTTCAGCATCTTTATGTATGAATGAGAATGTACATTGCTTGTCGAGATTCTACTCGTACCGCATTGTCTATTCAGTCCTTTTCATCACATTGCAGATTCTCGGTTTATTACGTACATTGCAGATCTGTGCATGAAACATCTGGCATCCGCCCTTTGAGTTGAGGAACAGCGCGCCAATGTACGAGTGCTCGGGGACAAAAAGAATCCGAAGTTTTGTCCTAAAGCCCTCCCACCAGGGGACCGGGTCTTGATGCGTATAATCATCGAACTTTTCGATGCGGAATGTCGGCATCTTGTACTGTTGCACACTGGTGTTACCATCCTTGTTGGGCAGCTGGTGCAGCTGCTGAACCTCGGTCTTCAAGGTGTCCAACTGCTTGCTGATGGTGGCTGGTGCAGCGAAGGTACTGGTGTCGCCGAGCATTGCGACTACGTGGTCAACTTGTTCCTCCAATTGGCGGGTAGAGGGTGCACTGCTCGACTCGCCAGCATCTGGTCTTGGTACAACTTGCTCCAAGTCCTGTACACGGGAATCAAGTGCCCGTGTAGCATCCTCGTGCAGATCCTTGTAGTTCCGCGCCGCCCGTCGGAGATCCGCCAGCTTGGACTGCAGGTGGTTAGAAGTGTAAACCAACCGGGTCACGAGTTTGGCGATAAACTCCTTGTGCTGCTCTTCCGGTATCACGTCTTCGTGGTTCTCGGATGGTTCAAAATGCCAGAACTTGAGCTTTTCGATGCTGGCGGCTTCGTGCCGCTGTAGCAGATCCTGGGCCTCCTTGCGGCGGACCTGGGCATCTGCGTCAGCTTCGGCCTGAAGTCGCTGCTTTTCAGCTACTGCCGCCGCTTCAGCCTGTAGGCGGGCAGCCTCGGCTGCTGCCTTACGCTGTTCCTCAGCCTCAATCAGTGCGAGCTGAGCTTGGAACCGCTGTCGGTACTCGGCAATGGACTCATTGGCCAGTTGGCCTGGCATGCCCAGAACTGAGACCGTCATGGTGCTGGGGCACTGCTGACATGGCACTGTTGCTGATGTGGTACTGCTGACGTGGCACTGCTGACGTGGAACTGCTGATGTGGCACTGTTGCTGACGTGGCACTATACCAAACCGGGAATGCAGGCAAAGGTTGGGTGGGAGGGAAAACGCAGGTAGGTAACCAACCAAACTATACTTTCCTCCCGGTCCTAATCAATAGACTAAAAAAAAATAAAAAAAATAAAAGAAGGGACTCATCTCCCTTTTTCTTTTTTTTGTTGAAAATCTGTCGATTTGCTATGAGTGAGGCATTTCAGAGGAGTACTATGAGTGAGATCTAGGCAAGGTTCCGCAAAGTTTCGGCTTTCAAAAAAATGCGATCTTGAAAAAAAAAACTGAGCGAAATAGACTGGAGGTTCCACTTTCAGAGAAGAATAAATCCAGTTTCCGAGAATATGACAGCCTCCTAATGGAGATTCGATTTTCAGAAAAGAATAAATCCAGTTTCCGAGAATATGACAACCTCTATCGTTATCCGAATATGCCTAGAAACGAAATGCTAATATCAGAAATTTTCGGCTATTTAGAACGAATGCTAATATCACAAATTTTCAGATAAAACGAAATGCTACTATCACAGTCTATCAGAAATTTTCAGATATTTGAAATGCTAATATCAGAAAGTTTCAGATAAAAAGAAATGCTACTATCAGAAATTTTCAGATAAAACGAAATGGTACTATCAGAATTTCTCAGATATTTGTTGCGAGAAAGAGAAAAAAATAAAATAAAAAAAATTGCAGAGATTTGACGAAGCCCTACTTGATTTACTAATAATCATACTTGCAGCGCACCAGCACTGTGCGCTGCGCAGTGCGCTGTGCGCGGACCCAGGGTGCGCTGCGCACGTCTGGTGTGCTGCGCGCATGTGCGCAATGTATATTTCCATGTCCTAGCGGTGGATTCATTTGATTTTGTTCTCTCTCTCTCTCTCTCTCTCTCTCTCTCTCTCTCTCTCTCT